TAAAGGCATATTGCATTAGCTCTAATATTCCATCACTTTTTACTTTTAGCAGAATGGAACTACCATTTCACTACAATGAGAAATGAAGGCCTTCAGGGTAGAAGAAGGATGATAGGAGAAATCTCCCAAAAGAGAATCTGGATGTCTGCAAGCCATTTCTTTCTGGTTTTGTGACACATATGTGACTAGGTCACAAGCACCACCTACTCAATGGCTAGGGTTGTGACTCACGCTATACTAAAGACCAAGATTTATAAATAATAAAGTCTAAACCGAATAGAACACATAGTGGGTAAGAATAATATAGGAAGTACGTCACAAACAGGTGGCACTTTTATCTTAGATATTGAATATTACATATAAGATATTCAATATCTTAGTTATTGAATAGTACCCTATGACTATTATTAAGTATTCTACCTTATGATTCTTGACGAATGCATCTTTTCTTTTATGTACACTGAGAGCGTATTCACCAAGTCCAATCACACTTGGCCAATAAAGAATTCTGTTCTATTCTATTGATCTTCCCTAACAGATTTTAGAAAAGATTGGGCAAATATATGGCATGTTTGGAAGTAAAAAAGAAAATATTTCCCAAACCAGAACATCCAGGCATGTTGCAAGTGGCAGATACATACTAAGTGCTCTTCTTTTGATTTACATTCATGCACATTTTTTCCAGTTCTTGAACTAGCAAAATATATGTTGGCATAATCTGTGCAGCCCTAACTGCCAAGCCCTAGTATGCCTCCATCACAAGATCAAGTACTACTTTTAAAGTTAAACAAAATGATTGATGTTTTTTTTTTCATGGCTTCGTCTCCTCTCCTACCAAGCTTAACTTGCCATTGGGAAAAGCAACAATCAATTACCTCTTAATATGTATTGAGACAAGTGAAGATAGGGATCTAGGATGGAGGGTTTAGCTAGCTTCAAAATTACTGGGTTGGTGGCTCAGAGATATAGAAGTGCTCCATGCCTGTCCCCTGCCAATCGTTGTTTTTAAACACAGGTGGCTTCTTTTCAAAATAGTCCAACTGATATGTCAAAGAAGGATAGCAAGTATTGGAGGTGCTACCTTCCAGTACACAAAACACTCCTCTTTGACCTATCAATTGGCCTTTGGGGGGGGAGAGACTGTAGATCTAGCATTCTTTAGGGTATGCAGAAACTCATGTGTCCTGGGTTCCAGGGGTGGGTTTCTACCAGTTCACACTGGTTCTATAGAACCGGTTGTTAACATCACTGGTAGTTATAAGAACCGGTAAAACAGACCCCTGCTTGGCCCCGGCCCTCTCCGCTGCTTCTACAGGCCAAAAACCGGTTTTTATTACTGCGCATGTGTGAAAATCCCTTCCTCATTCTCTCCTGCCCACCCCTCCCTTCGCTGCCCCGGCCCCTGCCCCTATCCGCCGCTCCAAAGTAAAAAAAAAACTGTGTTTTTTTTAAAAAAATGGGTTTTTTTTACTGTGCATGCGCAAAAATCCCTTTCTCATTCTCCCCTGCCCTCCCTGCCCTGCCCCTTCTTATAGCACATGTGCACTAATTACAAAAAAATTACCCGCACGGTGCCATCGCTCACACCAGCAGCAGCAGCAGCAGCCGCCGCCAAGTCAGTCAGCTAGCCAGCTGTCCATCCCTGCCTGCCTTCTGCCGCCCTGCTGAGTGTGGGCAAGCCGCAAGCCCCAGTCACCACTTCCGCTAACCATCCTCGCCTGGCCGGCCTGCCTTGCCCTGCATGCCTCCCGCCACCGCCGCTAGCCGTCCTTGCCCGCCTGGACTGCCTACCCCACCGCCGGCCTCCAAATACGCAGATCGGTAAGTACGACCCTCCAACCCAGTCGCCTACCTACCGCCACCAGTCCTGGTCGACCGCCCTTGCTGACGCTCCCTGCCTTGCCCGCCCCCATCTTCACTCACCCGTGGCCCTCCATTGTTGCTGCCTTGCAGCCGGCTGGCCCAGGAGTCGGTAGCGATTGGTAGTGAGGAGGCAAAGCAGCAACTCCTGCTGCTGGCCCGGTCCCCTACCTCCTCCTGCCACCTCTGCTGCCAGCCCAGTCGAGAGCCGACTCATGGGCCGGCGGGCCACGCTGCAGCAAGCAAGAAGACTGAGGAGGACCCCGCATAGTTGGCTAGCCAACTTGCCTGTCTCCTTTTTGGTAAGATGCTTTTTTATATTTATGTATTTATCTATTTTTTTACTATCTGTTTTTATTTTTATTAATCATAAAAACAAAACAGATATTAAAGAAATAAATAAACACATAAATAAAAATTATTTTACTATTCATCTTGATGTTTCTTTAAGCAAAGGAGAAAAAAACATCAAGATGAATAGTAAAATATTTTTTATTTATGTGTTTATTTCTTTAGTATCTGTTTTGTTTTTATGATTAATAAAAACAAAAACAGATGGTAAAAAATAATAATACATAAATAAAAAAGCAACTTACCAAAAGGGAGACAGGCAACTTCTTGTTACATTGATGTTATACATTATCTGTTTCTGCTTAAATCAATATATAGCAACATCAATGTAACAAGAAGTTGCATGCATACATAAATTATTTTTTTTAAATAAAAGTGTTTTATTTTTTTAAAACATAAACAAACACATAAAACATAAACCATCTTCAGTTACATAGTGTATTGGTTGGTACAAATCACTTGTGCACAATCTCTGCAGTCTTTCCTTTCCAATTTGCATTAATTTTATTTTATTTATTTGTCAAACAATTTTTGGATAACAGGTATAAGTATAAACATGGTTATAAATATATGAAATGGATATGGATAAGAAAAAAAAGAAACAATAAGACAGGGACGTTAGGCACGTTTTGGTGCGCTTATGCACGCCTCCTCTTAGGAAGGGGGTGAGGTCAATAGTAGACAAACTAATGTTGAAGATTTTGGGGTTTGGGGAAGAAACCACAGAGTCAGGTAGAGTATTCCAGACATTGACCACTCTGTTGCTGAAGTCGTATTTCCTGCAATCAAGTTTGGTGCGGTTTACCTTGAGTTTGTATCTATTTAGTGCTCTTGTATTGTTTTGGTTGAAGCTGAAGTATTCATTGATAGGTAGGACATTGTAATATATAATTTTATATACTATACTTAGATCGAACCGAAGGCGGCGTAGTTCTAGGTTGTCTAGGTCTAAAATTTCAAGTCTGGTAGCATAAGGTATTCTGCTACGAGTAGAGGAGTGGAGGATTCTTCTCATAAAATATTTCTGGACTTTCTCAATTGTATTAATATCAGATATGTAATGCAGGTTCCAGACTGATGAGCTGTATTCAAGTATTGGTCTAGCAAATGTTTTATATGCTCTAGTTAGTAGAGTGATATTACCAGAGAAAAAGCTACACAGGATTAGGTTAACAACTCTTAATGCCTTTTTGGCTATGTAGTTACAGTGGGCTCTAGCACTTAGATCATTTAATATGAGTACTCCAAGGTCCTTGACAGAGTTTGGATCATCAACAAGGTCTTGACTATTTAGCTTGTATTTTATTTTTTGATATATATTTTTTGCCAATATGTAAGATAGAGCATTTTTTTGTTGAGATTTGAAGTTGCCATTTGTTTGACCATTCTGACACATAGTCGAGGTCTTTTTGAAGGGTAGCAGTATTGTCAGTGGTGTTGAATAGCTTTACATCGTCAGCGAAAAGAACGCAGTTGCTCTTAATATAATCACAGAGGTCATTGATATAGAGTATGAAGAGAGTTGGTCCTAGAACACTGCCTTGGGGGACACCACTGTTGACAGGATTTGATAGGACACTCCCAATTTTGACCATTTTGACAATTTTGACCATTGCCTGTTTGACAGGAATGCTTCTATCCAGTTATGCAGGTTTCCAGAGATACCATAAGATCTTAGTTTTAGGAGTAGTTTGTCGTGTACCACTGAATCAAAGGCTTTACAGAAGTCGATGTAAATTGTGTCAACTGCTTTGCCCTGATCAAGTTGTGTAGTCCATATGTTTTTACAGTGCAAGAGTTGCAGGTTACAGGACAGTTTCCTTCTGAAACCAAACTGTTTGTTAGAGAGTAGGTTGTTTGTCTCTAAGTGGAGGATAATGGATTGGTTAATAATTGATTCCATGACTTTACAGGTGACACAGCATAAAGAGATTGGTCTGTAATTTTCAACTAGGCTGGGGTCTCCCTTTTTGAAGATGGGAATGACTGTGGCTAGTGACCATAGATTTGGCAAGGAGCTGGTCCTGAAAGATTTTTCAACGATTATGCTTAGAGGTTCAGCTATGGCAGTGGATAGCTTTTTTAAGAAGTAGGCACAAACTCCGTCCAGTCCAATAGATAAAATGGTTTTTTAATCCTTATATCATGCTAAGCAATTAGCCACTAAGCGAGCACTTGGTCATTAAGTGAGGACCACTTAAATTTGGGTTGCCAGCCACATGGCCACCTGCCTGGGCCTTGCCAGGGCTTCCCTAGGCCTTGGAAACTGGCAAAAAGCACTTTCTAAGCAATTGGCCACTAAGTGAGCACCTGGTCATTCAGTGAGGACCACTTAAATTTGGGTTGCCAGCCACATGGCCATGCCCACCCCAGTCACATGACCACATAGCCACGCCCAATCCACAAGCCACTCTCACCCCAGTCACATGACCCCCAAGCCACACCCACAAATTAAGCCACGCCCACAGAACCGGTTGTTAAGAAATTTGAATCCCATCCCTGCTGGGTTCCAAATCAAAGTGCCAATGGAGGGCCATGCCCAACAATCAGAGGTAAGAGGTTATGTTCACAGCAACCTGAATTGGCCAAATGAACTGGACAAATCCAGCTGTACTATCAACCATGTAACCGAGAAAGCATGAAAATATACAGTCACAACAAAACTTGTCCCAGAAGGTGGAAAGTATCACTTCAAAATTGGAAGAGCTAAATATAAATTTAAGCTGCTTCTACTGTGAATCAAGGATGAAATGAAAGCAGTGTAATGAGGACAGGCCCTTACGTCTTGGTATCTTTATTCTGTGGTTAGAGAGATATAAAGAGATCTCAGCCAGTCTGATACTCACATTATGTCACAAGGTTTGTACAGCTATAGAGCTGCAGAAATTCCATAAAAACCATAAGTATCCCTCCCAAAAAATTTAATCCCTGTTTCAAGGTACTAATCTAGGACAGGAGACATAGCTCGAATATGTGTCTTAATTTATTTAAAACAATACCATATAAAATAAAACAGATTCGTTATGACAGTACAATTAGTGATGCTCTTTCCTTAGCATGCAGGGTGGTTCCTTGAAGTCCAAAGACATCACTGTGCTTTTCACTTCTGAACAGAGGCTGGAAATAGGCAAGCATATTAAATTAGGATAAGATTTTAGGTGTAAAAGAAAAATAAGGATGACATGACTGTAAAAATAGTCTCCACTGATGACTTGTGAGATTCCCTCCCCTGCAACATTGACCTGTAGCAAGTTCCTAAAACATTTCTTCAAAAGGGAAAATGGCTTGATTGTTCTGTGTCGTTTTGCTCTCTGTGTGTGAGAGAGAAATATCAAGTATCTGTATTTTTTGTTCCTGAAACTGGAAAAAACTTGAGTAGACATAGGAGGCACTAAACTGAGCTTTAGTTTGTCAGCAGTAGTTGAATTAAATTCATACAGTGTACTACTATAAACTTACATTTCTTAACCTGATAATACTGTCATATTTTGCCCTGCTTTTGGAGTGCCTTAAGATGCAATGGACCAAGTTACTTACTTAATTGGGGACGGTTGTCTGATGAAGGGCAGCAAAGTGACGATCATGGGGAGAATCGCGATAGAATGGATCAACAGTTGTGATTGTCCTATAATGGCAGAGGACAAGCATTGGAAAACAAAATAAATACATAAATACATAAATACATAAATAAATACATAACTCACTCACTAACTAAATAAACAAACAAACAAACAAACAAATAAATAAATAAGGGTAGAAGGCACCCAAGGGAAGGAGATGAAATGGCAACGGGCACCAGAATTGACTTGATGGAGCAAAAGAAAAAGAAACAGCCCTGCCACTATGATATCACCTGCCAACATGGGGATGAACAGTCCTCAAGGTCTCTGTAGCATTAGGATCACTTCCTAAGTCAGTGCCGTGGTTGTTCGTAGCAAAGCCACCTGCTTGTTGAGGCTGGATGCCCCCTCGGGTCCAGCCCTCCCTGTCCACTCCCTTTGGAATGGTTTCATAAAATCTGATAAAGAGAAAGATGATTAAGCCTGGCAGATTCGGCAACTGCTTCTTGTGATCTCAAAAATATAAATCAGAGATATGTCTTTACTCTGGCACTGCTTGCCTCTGGCACTGCAGATGTGCAATTTGAGAGTTTACACTAGGGTATGGATATTTATTTTTTCCCTACAAATAGCAGGTCCACTACTTTTTTCTGCCCTCTGCTTCCACTATCCATCCTCCAAAGTCTTTGCTTCAAATAACTTGGTCCATATAGATAAAAGAATCAAAGCCACCTATGCAAATAGAAAAAAATATGCTTTAAGAGAAAAATCATAGCTTAGGAATCTTTTCCCCCTTTCCTAGTGTTTTCCTGCAAGTTCAGGATCTGCTTTTATTGGATTAACCAATTGTGACAGGCATTGAATGAGCAGAGGGAGAACTACTAGCCCAAAGTCACCAAGCTGGCTTTCATGCCTAAGTTAGAACTAGGACTCACAGTCTCCTGGTTTCTAGCCTGGTGCCTTAACCAGTAGACCAAACTGGTTCTCTGAATGTTACTATCCTAATATGGATGGTAAGCAACTACCAAACTTACTTGGAATTATAGCTAGTCAAAAACCTGTTGGGCAGATTTGGATCATACACAGGTATCACATAATTAAGGTTGTTGGTGCTGAATCCTGATGGCTCCTATATGGAGAAAGGCATGAAAGCAGGACTAAGGGCTTGATTCCTCAAGAAGTGAACAAGAAATATGTGATTATGAAAACAGTTGTAAGATCCCAAAATAACTCCCATATTATACATCCAACCAGAGGTGGTATTCAGCAGGTTCTGACCAGTTCTGGAGAACCGGTAGCGGAAATTTTGTGTAGTTTGGAGAACTGGCAGAACCACCTCTGATTGCCCCTATCCCCATCTATTCTCTTCCTCCTGAGTCCCAGCTGATCAGCTGGGTCTTCTTTGGTTGCCCTGCACAGGAGAATGGAGCTGGAAAGCAGGTTAGTGGGGTAGGGAGGGAATGGGTTTTTGCAGTAACCTTCCCCTGCCACACCCACCAAGCCACACTCACAGAACTGGTAGTAAAAAAAAATGAATCCCACCACTGCATCCATCATACCTTGTTGCCCACATACTCTCGTCCTAGAAGATTGGTTTGTGTTTGAGGCTGTCGCTGATGGCCTTGGAACTGAGAATGGCTCAGCGGCCCAGATGCTTCTGCAATGGGTAGAGCTCCCTGTGAAATGAGGACCATAACAAACAAGATTTAGAAGAGTTGGTGAAGTATAGCAGAAGCAAGCAACAAAGAAAATAGGAATCAAGATAGGAAAGGTAATGGAAGGTGAACAGATAAATGACTAAACAAGTATAAGGGAGTTTGGGAGGCCCATACACGAGGAAGAAGTGGAGAAAAGAGAGGTATCTATTTGTAGATGCTGATAGGGAAAAACGAGAGAAAAATGTAGAAGGACAGACAAAAGGGGGAAATGAAAGCAGGGAGAGAAAGGTAACAGAGAGAAGAATTACAAACATAAGGATAATTCGGAAATAGCTGTGAAGAATTTTGGACACATTTCTCCTGTGTACAAAAGCAGAAGTTCAAAGCAGAGAAAAATGAAATGAGAGAAAAAACCTGTTCTGTCAACACCGAATTGTCACTTACTGAAGAACCAAGGCGAAGATCCTTCTGCCGACTAAATCCAGAGCCCCGCTCAGAGCCTTTGGAAAGGACTGGTAGAAATTCATCCCCCTTTCAGGAAGAAAAAATAAATAAAGATGTGTGGTACATACGTATACATATACAGGGGTAGATATTGAAGAATAAAATGGAAATAATATTTGTTCATCCAGCCCCATCCATGCCAGCAGGTGCACTTCTTACATGTGGAACAGAAGATGGTATATAATCTGCTTTCATAATGCTGATTCCAGGATTGCTGTCCTACAAAGCAAAACAAATGAAAAGCAATATTTAGACCTAGAGAGAGAGAAAGCAGATTGGATATAACAGTTATTTTAATGTAGCTTTTACTATGTTGGGGGAAAAAAACCAAGGAGCCAGGTTAATAGGAGACCCTACTAATACTATCTAATTATCTGAACTAATACTGGTGGTATCTGGATCAGCTATGGTGGGGTGTAAGAAGTAGTAATTATTATTACTAGCATTATTATTATGGGAAAGGCATAAGTAGTAATTATAACAATGGCATTTCATGTATTTAAGTTTCCAGACAGATCTGATATACCCGTTTCCACAGTACTCCATTCCATTAGGTTGTTTCCCCCAGCCAGGATTTCAAGCCAAATAAGCATGCTCAAATTTTATTGATCTTAGCTGGCACCTTTCTTCTTCTTTTTTTTCCATAAAGGGTTTTTGTATGTCTTCAAACCTAGGGGTTCCCCCAAGCTTCTCTTCTACAAGGAAGATACTCTTTTAGCCACATATGGATAAAGAAAATGAGTTTGCTATTTGTATGGGGAACTCTACACAAAATAATATTCTGGAACTTTCACCCTAGGAATTTGTGTCCTGATTTGTTGCAATTTGTACCCTTGAAAAATTTGCTGGCAAAAATAGCTCCTGAATGATATAACAAGCTAGAAAGTATTAAATTATTAGAATGCTACCTTTCCCTTCTCAAGCTTTGGCTCCTGTATGCTACTTTAGCAAACCTTGGACCTATTACTGGCAGGTAGGCATATTCTAAAATAATCCAAGGCTGCAGCCATCCAATTTTTATAGAAGAAATATAGGAAAGATATATATTTGGAGAAAACCAAAATAATCCTGGGAGCTGGCAATTATTTTTTGCTTAATGAAAATATTTGAAATTTATTTGTAATAAAAAGTCTAGTAGGGTAGGAGTTAGCAGACAACATTGGAGGGCCGTAGGCACATTGGTATAATAGAAACAAGAGCATTTATAAAAACTTATCGGAAAAGAAAAACATAATTCTACAGAGATTCTGGAATTTTTCTAACAATAAGGAACAAACATTGAGATTATGGGTCAAGCAAGCTGGATGTTATTTACATTTTCAGAATTCTAATGCACTTTATTTTAAGGAGAGATGGCCTTAATATCACATATGCCCTCTCCTAATGTTTTAATAATATTTTTTTTTTAAATTGTGCTTTTTAATATTGTCTATTTTATGACTTGTTTGTTGTTTGCTGCCCAAAATCAAGTTTGTTTGCTCGCTTGCTTATTGTTTGCAGCCTGAAGTCAGGTTTGTAAAATGGGCAGCTAAGATAGGATCTATATACATACAAACCCTGATTGAAGAGGAGACAAATTAGACTGCAATGTGCAGGGGAAGGCATTAACCCTCTTGCCTTCGTCAGGTTTCAGGAAAAAAAAGTCACCCACACCACACTTTTTTGGCTTTTAGAGAGAAAGCTCTAAGGGAAGCCAATCAGAACACAGCAAATTTGTCACAGTTCTAAGACCAAGAATATCTGCTTGCTGGCCTTCTTTTGTCATTGTGCTGGTTTATTTATTATCTTGTAGGTCAAAGCGAACATGTGAATAATTTTACAACCTCTCAGATTTATGCTTGTGGGCAATAGAATACCATGTCATGGTATACCACTACTCAACAGTCTTAGCCCAAGGGTTTAAATGAAGATATTCGGTACTTATCCTTGATTTAAACATATCTCTCATGCAGCTCACAATCCCTTTTGTACTACAAATCAAAGAACTGCTCTCAACCTCAATTGATTTTGCAAAACACTCATTAATTCCATAAGGTAAAATACTTCTGTGCCATACTTTTCCTTTAATGGAGATTTTTCTTATTCATTTACTTTCATTCCCAATAGAGATAAAACAGTTGCTACATGTTTCTAAAATGATGCTGTGCCTTGTAACTAATTATTCTTATGCTCATGAAAGCAATATTCTTGAATTTGATATCTGAGTTCCATAAACAGATATTTTTAGAGTTAGACTAATTTGACAACTTCTTTCTGTAACTTGAATTTATTCTCTTTTAGATATTTGCTGAACTATTTAAAATGGACCCAAATTATCCATTTTAAAAATATTGTTATATATGTTTTGTTCAAGTTATTTCAATATCCCTTTTGTACTGTTTCTGTTTTCACCATTATCCATCTGTTGGGATGGATAAAACTGGAATGTGAGATTCCTGCTTTCTCTTTTGTTTCACAAATTGTCCCGCTCCTATAGCAAACAGGAGTCCTTGCTGGAGATGGTCAAAAAGTTAAGATGGTGGCTACAACCATGCCAGGCCCATTTTTATGTGCCTTGTGATTTAAAAGGGTGGACTTTGATCACATGGTTGTGGCCACCATCTTCATTTTTTAGCCCTTCCTGCAGAAATGGAGCCCATGTGTTGAGGGAGAGCAATTGTTGAATCTCAAGAAAAACTGGAGAGGAAGGGCCCCATTTTGCCTGCTTTTCAGTCTGCTTTTCAGCATTTTTAACATGATGCTTCATCTGACCCTTGGGAAGAACAGCTGAAGAAACCAAAACTACTGGGAGGACCTGAGATGCTAGTTTCTCCACAATGGGGTTAGCAAGGCAGCCTTCAGTAAATCCTGACTCTTCTTTGGCTCCAATTGTTTTCTTTTGCAGGAAATCTGTATGGAGAGAAAAATAAAGATGTTCACTGAGGGGGGGAAAGGAGCATATGCAGTAGACGACTTTAAAAACATCTTGGGAAGCTGGACTGATCTGTTCATTTCTCACAAATTAACACCAGTGAGTCATGCAAAACCTTGTGAGAGCCCTAGCTTTGAATATTAAGTTTAAAAGAGCCTAATGCTTATATAGTACTCTCCTTTTCTGGATACTTTTCCTCTTTAACTGCTATTCAGAGGTTTCCTTTTACTCTGATCCTGGAGGCGATGCCTAGCCAATTGTGGTTAAAATGGCTTCATTTTCTATACAAACATATTATAACAGCTTGGCTGTTATAATTTGCTATTTCCTCAACCCCCTTTCATCTTACCCAACAGTAAAATCAAGGAAGGAAAGAGGGAGATGATACACTGTGCTTACAAAACCTTTGGAGTTGCACCCAATCCCCTAACTCAAAGATATGTTGCTCTTAATATATTCAATATGCCTATCAGTTGCTCTATATGACACATATTATAGGCAAGCTACATAAAAAAGGATGCTTTTTAAAAAAAACTACAAAATTCCATAGCAGAAATCCAGAGTATGCAGAAATGTTCCTCAAAATAGATGCATGCATTTTGCATTACTGCTACCTGTAATGTGAAGTTCTTTTTTAGACAGGGCAAGGACTTGAGCATTTATATGTAACATTCATCCTGTGAGAAATTGTCCCAGGAAAGAAATAATTTTCCAAGTACGTCACAGTTCTTGAGATGTTGTTTAAAAAATGTTGCCCAGTTCAATTTCTCTGATGTTCAAATTTAAATTATGTAAGCAACTCCATCATTTTAAAAAAATGTATGGCTTAAATGCTAAAATCACCATAGGACAAGAAATAAAAACAATAAAAGACAACCCTCTCCAAACAAAACAGAAATAAAATAATTATTGAAATATCTGTTTAATAATCTCAATTGTTTCTTTCTAACAGTTGTGAAATTACTGTATTGGTTATGGAAAACAATAGTATTGGCTGGTAGATTCTTATCTGGCTCTTAGTGATTAATTATGTGACATAAAATTGGTGTCGATTCTTAGTGACCTCATAGATAGACTTCTCCAGGATAATCTGTCCATACCTAACCCTTCAAGTCTTCCAACAGCGTACCAACTGCTGTTGTCATATTGATTGTCTTCTTCTTCCTTCCATTTTTATCAACATTATGGGCTCTTCAAGGAAATTGAATCTTTGGGCCAAAGATAACATAATGAACCAAAATATTATAATTTGAACTTAGTCAGTTGTGCTTCAAGTAAGAATCCACATTGATTGATTTATTCTATGAATGATGTGTGGCACTCAGAGGATTCTAAAAAGTCTTCCCCAAAGTTCAAAAGCCTAAATACTTTTTCTGTACTGTTTCTTCAAACTCCAACATTTGTTTCCAAACAGTATCATAGGGAAACCATTGCCTGCTTGGTTATGATCTTTGTTGATGCAAAATATCATGGCAAGTGAATTCCTTCTGAATTTGGATAATTTTTGGAAGACTAAATCTGTTTCCATCTCTGATGTCTTCCAAATGTTGTTATAATACTGTTTGGGTTTTCTAACAGCTATCTGAAATTCTGTATTAAGATTCTTTCCGGTATCTTTGCTCTCTTCTCTTGTTACAAGAGAAATGTTTCTGCTGTATTATCTTCTGATTGAAAGCATCTCCTTCCAGTACATTTCAAGTGCTTGATGCCTAAGATTCATTTCCTCTTTCATTGTGTTATGCTTTCTTGTGTTCATGCTACTTACACTCCATGTTGCCACCATAATTTGGCCTTTACAGCTTTGGATTTTCTTTTTCTGCATGGCTGCATCAGCCAATAGACACCTCAAAGGCTTTAACTGAAGTACATCACACCTGGATGCCATCTGACTTGATCCAGCACTCTTTTATCAATCCCTTTCATCATGTCTATCCATGGAATTATCTTGACAAAATGTGAGCATGCTAAAATGTAGGAGTGCCTTACCATTGCTGTTGTCACTAAAGTTACCATTGCTTCCAACATCTTATATCACTGCTGCCTGATATAATCCCTTGCTTGTTTTAGTTGATCAGCTGGGATGACCTTTACACCTTGGATGACCCTGCTAAAAGTAGACACTTTTCTTCTATACTTCTGGTGTGCCTCATTCTAACCCTCTCAGTACTTCCCTGCCTTATCATTTTAAGACAGCAAAGCAGGATCTGGGAGAGGGGTGTTCCAAAGTAAACTGATGTGGAATAAGCCTGTGAAAGGCAATCCTGAAGGGCCAAAGACCGAGCTAAGGTGAAATGGTTTAGCTACTCCAACCTAAGAATTAAATGTGACATATATAGTGTTTTGTGGAGCAATAGTTTTTCAAAGAGTGACTTGATTAAATCAAATTATCCTACTGAAGCTTCATGAGTTCTAATTCAAACTATAATTTTACATTTTAAAATATTGATTTAGGAATTTAATATTTAGAGAACGGGATATGAGTTTCAAAGGGAGAGGTGTACTGATATAAAAACCACCATGGGTAGTTTCAGATGTTGTGATAATCCAAGTCCCCCCCCCTCCTAAAAAAAATTATGCTTGATGCATAATAGTAGCATAAACCTAGTGACTATTATGTTGTATTAAATGCATAGAAATTATACCTGGTTGACCTGGAATGTTGAAGCGGTACTTTGAGCCATACTCTGTGGACATGAACTGAGGTCCCTACAAACACAAAAGAGGAGAAGACCATGTTTCTGGGATTAACCTGCTCTTATCTTCTCAATATATTTTCAGTCTCGCTAAGCTATATCCCATCCACTTTTCTCTCTGTGAGTAAACCAGTTATTCTTGCTATACTTCACTAGCTCTCTTGCTCTTTTAGAAAACATTGTCCTTTCTCCTTAGCTGCCTTTCATGTCTGGATTTCATGTCTAATTCCTTTGTGATGCCAGCTGTTATTTTCTATAAATCGCTACTCAAAGCTCACATTTTCTGTGGTGTCTCTTAGTCTAATTCTCAACTGTAATGAAGCCTAAGCAAGTAGTTGGAATTGTTTGATTTTTATAGCTACTGTTAAGCTTCCAAGTCCAATAGACTGGTTATCACTGAGAAAACCAAAGCTTACTCAGAATGTTTTCCAGTTTGAGCAGAGCAGCAAATGCCTACCCTGTTGAGTACCCAGGTTTATCCAAATTGTTCTGACATTTGAGGCAGAAAACCCTATAAGTGCTTCTCCCTCAATATCACTGCCTGCACCACATATGAAATCCCCGATCCCTTGCTGCCTTCTAATGGCATCTCATTCCAATTATTGGAGCCCACAGACTCACGTGTCTTGCGTTTTCCACTTCAACGGAGCCTTTTCCAAATCCACTGTGGAGCACAGGGACATGTCTGGGCTCCAGCCCTATCACAGCTTCAGCTCCCTGGTTGGCTGTGTCAAAATGGACCCTTTTGACCTGTAATATCAAATCCAGTTGGCCTCTGAGAAGAGCAATGAGCTAAAACATAATGGGATGAAGGGAATGGAAACGCCACTGAACCTGCTCTAGGAAAGAAAGAGAGAAGATCAAAGTAGACCATTCCAAGACATTTTTCACAGTGGCATCCAAAGTCCATATTAAGACAATGTGGTATGAGCTGCTATCACAAATTAAGAAAGAAAGAAAGAAAGAAAGAAAGAAAGAAAGAAAGAAAGAAAGAAAGAAAGAAAGAAAGAAAGAAAGAAAGAAAGAAAGAAAGAAAGAAAGAGGCTTATTCAAAAGCTGCTCAAGTTCCTTTGGCACCTCAGGCTTTGGCACCTCAGGCACACTTTCTGATAAGAAACTCCAATACATTTAGATAACTTTTTGCTGCCTTTTATGGTATCCAAAATCAGTTGCCTGAGGCATATGCTTTCCTCCATTGATAGGATGAGTCTTGAAAGCAATTAGAAAGGCAGAAATGCCAAGAAACATTTCCTGTATTTCCTTAGCTGAAATTGTGACCTGCATTTTATGTATGGCCAGGTCTTGCTACCAGAAGACAAGAAAGCTGTGAAATAAACATATGTTATACCCCTCCATCTCATTCTTTTTCTTTTTCCTATATACTTTAAACAAAATAGTATGAATTGCAGCATATAACTTTTGAATAAACATTTTAATCTCTGTTGTAGTAAACATTTTGAAAAACAAGGTTATGGTGTTTTTCTAAAAGCCCACAACATAGAAGGTAAACTGCATTTTGCTTTTGGTGCAACAATGTAGCAACATAAGACCATAATTATGAAGACTTTGCACTTGGCAAAACTAAGCATCAATTCCATTGCCTTTTCCTATATAATATAAGCAGTTGCAGATTCACAAAGGTAGCTGGGTTCTTATTAAAATTATGTCTGGGTGTTTTCAGGGGTCACATTAAGGTACAGACTTACTCAAATAGCTCTCTTCTATTTACAGCAATTTCACTTGAAATGTTCTCTATACTGACACACATGTACATACAGCAGTTCTAAATCTCAATGATGATTCCTTAATGCCTTAATATTATTTATTTTAAAAAGAAGGAGGAATGTAGCATGAACTTGGGGAAGGGGCAGGACAGAGCAGTCTCTTATTAACCAGCTAGCCAAGCTTTGTTTGGCAGTGCATTCTGCACACTCGGCTCTTGGCTGGATAAGTAAGTAAACAAATAAATCTCCTTCCGTGTAAACAACTCTGTTTTCATAGCATCCCAATTTATGTCCAGATCTGAAAACATCAGAACAGTCTGAAACAATATCATCGTGGCTTTAAAAAAAAGAGTAAGCAAGTTTGCAGAAGATTTAATCTTATGAAACTCTCCCGTGGCCACTTTCAGCAATCAGGTGCTCTGCAGGTATATTGGATTTCCCCAGAATCCCATTCATGATTGTTGAACTGTTTAGAAGAACCAATCAGAAGGCTGTAGAGTTGTAGTTTTGATAAATGAGTTTTTCCAGATGTTATTTGATGATACACATAAGGACACTGTTTCTCCCCATGTATACAGAGACGCACACATACATTCAAACCTACACAAGTCTGAGATATTTTTGAAATGTTGTTCCATTTATCTATTGGACACACAGTACATTAAAAGTAAACTGAGTAATATATATAGGATTGTGCTATACATAGTTATTTGTGCTGGTCCGTTTGCGACATCAGATTTTAACTCTCTTAGTCATCTTTGTTCATTCTGAATCCTGACACATTCTCACCGGATCTTATAAATTTAGCAATTTTGCTTCCACCTTGCATGGCAATAGAGTGCACTAGATCTTGTGACAAAGCAGAGAGAAGTTCAATTATCCAAAGATTCAATATTTCTCCTCTCAATATACACACATTATCTTTCAGCGTTGATCCACATTTACAGTGTAGGGAACCCTAACAAAACAACAGAGTTGGAAGGTACCTTGGAGATCTTCTAGTCCAACCCTCTGCTTAAGCAGGAAACCCTATACTATTTCAGACTAGTGGTTGTCCAATCTCTTCTTTAAAACCTCCACTGTTGGAGTACCCACAACTTATGAAGGCAAGTTGTTCCACCAATTAATTGTTCTAAGTGTCAGGAAATTTCTCCTTAGTTCTAGGTTGCTTCTCTCCTTGATTAGTTTCCACCTCTTGCTTCTTGTCCTGCCTTCAGGTGCTTTGGAAAATAGATTGACCCCCTCTTATTTGTGGCAGCCTCTCAAATATTGGAACATTGCTATCAATGTCATCCCTAATCCTTCTTTTCATTAAACTAGGCATATCCAATTCCTGATACTGACTCTAAGTCAATATCAGTGGACATTGTTACTACCATTCTCAGGAAAACATACATCCATAAGAGAAAGCCAGAATGTAAAGTTACGACTTACTGTTTTGGTTGTAGGAAAAGTTAGAGGCTTTTCTCGACCATACCCACTGCCTGGCTGATGTACACTCCAGGGAAGAGGATACTTCCCATCTGGGAGTTGAAGGGGCTGGAAATGTTTATTTGTTGTCGATTCATAGTTATCTTGGAGGAGTTTCCTGGTTTAGGGAAGATAATAAACAGCTCAAGAAGAAGTCTGCTTTCCAGCCCAAAAGCATTTTATGAATTTTGCTCATGTCCCAGATTTGGAGAAGACTCCGAAAGATATCATGGACTGTCAAACAAAACAAGCAAACAAACCGGAGTTCCCATTTAAAGCAAAAGACCAGACTTAAAATTATTTCAGATACATTATACAAAGACCTAGCTTTCTGGAGAAGGCTCTAATGCTGAAAAGGGTAGAAGGAAAGAAAAAGAGCACAATTAACAGCAGAGCGGATGGACTTAGTTACAGTGATGATTAATGTGCCATTGGAAGACCTGAAGGAATTGTCATGGAGGAAAATCTATCAATGTGTTCATTAAGTTCAACAGCAATTTGAGGGCACTTCATAATCAAGGATCTCCAAAAGATGACTGATCAGTGGCACAGGATATGTGAAAAAATGTATATTAGTTTCCCCGTTGTTCAAGATTAGTTTTAAGGGAATTCTAATTCTAATTCTTCCCTGAGAACTCTTGGTTGTCAATTAGCAACTGTTCAACTGTTTCTACTGGTCTCCCATAGAAACTCTCTACAACACATTCTCCTCATCACTCAGTCAAGAAAGCTGCAGGTGAAGATTTGAAGAATATGGATTTGAACAATATACTAAAAAATTTCACAAAAGTCTTCTGCAACAAATGTTTTAGGGATTCCCTCCCCCCCCCCACCTTGTTATCAAAAAATATTCTCCAAAACAATGCAGCTCAGCTTTGGTAGTCTCTGAATTTATCAATACGGCAACATTAACCACATATTTAGTGCCAACATTTAATGAATGAGACTGATGATTGTACTCACACAGTTTGTAGACTAGTGACAAATGCAGTGGCTGACTTTATCATGGTGTTGCCTGAGCATTCTAGCACAAATCAGTGTACCTTGGCCTTATAGTATTTTACTATAGAAATACTGTTGGTTGTACAGTTCTGGATTCTGAATCCCATTGACTCAGAGACAATCTATCAAATGGGAGAATCCAGGCTTTCATCATCTAAAGCACTCTGGTTTCATATCCACTTTAATGATGTCCTCTTGAAACAGATTGTTGATTTTATAACTTAAAAATTGATGTCCAGATGCAAATAGTCCATATTAGTCCACTTTCTATACATGAACAGTTTAAAAGTTTTTCCCATGTTCACCACACATCATTACATTCACTTTTTGAGAACCTGGAGTGATCTCTTTTGCCAGCTCAGTAAAAGTCATATGCAGCATGCTTCTCTGAATGAGAGTTATCAAATACCTCATCAGGTATCTGTACTCAAGATTGCCTCTGTTTTTGAGAGCACCCATCTCTTACCAGTCTTGGTAATTTAATACACACCTCCTAAAGCAGGGTAAACATAGCTGCGTGTGCCCTTTTAACAAATGGCACATTTTATAGAAATAATGGGTGTTAACTATTATGATTCTCCAGAAGTGAGCAGAAAATTATTTTGGAGAATTTCTGAAGAGGGATTGCAAAAGCAGATCAGTCTAAGCACCCTTAGAGGCAGGCTAGAGAAGCCATCTGTTTCAGAAGCAGGTGGCGAAGTCTACCTAAGCAGCACCAGAGCTGTCCTCTTTGGACACTGATTTCAAATGTTGAAGCTGTTAATGCTGAACAAGGTGAGTGTGTCACATCTCTTATCTTCTGGGGAAAAAATCCAGTTGAGAATCCAAAACCATACTGACCAGAAAAACTGAATCTGGTAATGCACTACCATAGTATAATTTGTAGTGGTGTGGATTGTGTGGTACAAAATGTTAATCAACAGTTATATTTGTATGTGCTACAGAAGCAATGTGGTTCTTTTTGTCGAAAGTAGGAGGCTACACAGTGCCATTTGCTTTGGTGGCGCACTTCACATTGCTTCATTTCTCCCTGTCACTCATCTATTGCTTGCCAAATCAAGAGAGGCTGTGCAGTCACTGCAGAGGCAGAAGCTCTTTGGACTCTAACAAGGGAAAACTAGAGAAGGCATTGCTGTTTTTTGTCACAGCTTGCCAAAGCTTCTGGGAAACAATGGTGGAGGGGAATGACCTTGGAGGACAGGAGGAAGAGCCGCTACCAAGGCAATAGCCAACTGAAAGAGGCTGAACATGGCCAAGAAAGTAATGTGAGTAAATGTCTCAGAAATTTCCCTAGTTCACACAAAGATAAAGGGAAGGGAGAGCGAAGTACATTCAGACTTGCAGTATGCTGGGCATTTTATTATAGGCAGCTTTACAATATAAGTAGTATCAATTTCCATGGCATTGGTTTTGTACAGGTGAAACTCAAAAAAATTAGAATATCATGCAAAATTCATTTATGTCAGTAATGCAACTTAAAAGGTGAACCTAATATATGAGATAGACTCTTTACATGCAAAGCAAGATAGTTCAAGCCGTGATGTGTCAAAATTGAGATGATCATGGCTTACAGCTCATGAAAACCCCAAATCCACAATCTCAGAAAATTAGAATATTGTGAAAAGGTTCGATATTCTAGGCTCAAAGTGTCCCACTCTAATCAGCTAATTAAGCCATAACACCTGCAAAGGGTTCCTGAGCCTTTAAATGGTCTCTCAGTCTGGTTCAGTAGGAATCACAATCATTGGAAAGACTGCTGACCTGACAGTTGTGCAGAAAACCATCATTGACACCCTCCATAAGGAGGGAAAACCTCAAAAGGTAATTGCAAAAGAAGTTGGATGTTCCCAAAGTGATGTATCAAAGCACATTAATAGAAAGTTATGTGGAAGGGAAACGTGTGGAAGAAAAAGGTGCACAAGCAGCAGGGATGACCGCAGCCTGGAGAGGATTGTCAGGAAAAGGCCATTCAAAAGTGTTGGGGACTTTCACAAGGAATGGACTGAGGCTGGATTCAGTGCATCAAGAGCCACCACACACAGACGGATCCTGGACATGGGCTTCAAATGTCATATTCCTCTTGTCAAGCCGCTCCTGAACAACAAACAACATCAGAAGTGTCTTACCTGGGCTAAAGAAAAACAGAACTGGTCTGTTGCTCAGTGGTCCAAAGTCCTCTTTTCTGATGAGAGCAACTTTTGCATCTCATTTGGAAATCAAGGACTCAGAGTCTGGAGGAAGAATGGAGAGGCACACACTGCAAGATGCTTGAAGTCCAGTGTGAAGTTTCCACAGTCTATATTGATTTGGGGAGCCATGTCATCTGCTGGTGTTGGTCCACTGTGCTTCATTAAGTCCAGGGTCAACGCAGCTGTCTACCAGGAGATTTTGGAGCACTTCATGCTTTCTTCTGCAGACGAGCTTTATGGGGATGCTGACTTCATTTTCCAGCAGGACCTGGCATCTGCCCACACTGCCAAAAGCACCAAAACCTGGTTCAATGACTGTGGGATTACTGTGCTTGATTTGCCAGCAAACTCACCTGACCTGAACCCCATAGAGAATCTATGGGGCATTGCCAAGAGAAAGATGAGAGACATGAGACCAAACAATGCAGAAGAGATGAAGGCTGCTATTGAAGCATCCTGGTCTTCCATAACGCCTCAGCAGTGCCACAGGCTGATAGCTTCCATGCCATGCCGCATTGAGGCAGCAATTGCTACAAAAGGGGCCCAAACCAGGTACTGAGTACATATGCATGCTTATACTTTTCAGAGGTCTGATATTGTTCTATGTACAATCCTTGTTTTATTGATTGCATGTAATATTCTAATTGTCTGAGATTGTGGATTTGGGTTTTCATGAGCTGTAAGCCATAATCATCACAATTATGACAAATCACGGCTTGAACTATCTTGCTTTGCATGTAATGAGTCTATCTCATATATTAGTTTCACCTTTTAAGTTGCATTACTGAAATAAATGAACTTTTGCATGACATTCTAATTTTTCAAGTTTCACCTGTACTCTAATCTATCTTGAAGGGCTAACAGAGGAAGCAAGAAGTGTGTCCTCTGTTGTATTCACCAAAACCTTTGGCAAGAATTGCCAGAAGAGGCAAGCAGAATGTCATCTGCCTTACTTGCTAGCTCTGGAGGATGAGCAATATCTTTCCCAATAGCTCTTGTCAAAGCTTGGTGAATGTTGCCAGAGTGGGCTGCACAGGAGTGCAAAACAAAGCCAGGCGATCACTTAACTTGGCTCCTAATAGTGCAGTGATTCTGTTGCTTCATGAAGCAGTTTCCAGAAAGTGTCGGTTTATCCAAGTCAAGCATCCCCTAGAAGATTTGCATAGCCCTACAATATCATAACCACCCCGTCTGCAAAGAGAAAGTAATGGAGGATGAGCACACTGAGTTTGTGGCTGTTCTCTGGTCGCACATTTGTAGTTACACTTTCTGGCAACATTAGAGACACTTCAGGAAAAAAAACCATGCTGCTGAAGAGTAAGAACTATGGCAGTGCAAGACAACCTGTGTCATTGTTTCAGAGATATTTCCTTGCCTACACAGAGGAAGAAAATGAGGGAAGAAAAAAAAAAGCAGTGGGATTTAGAAGCAACTTCCAACTTCCTGCCAGCTTCCCCATTGAATTTCCTTGTGGGAAGCTGGCATGAGGCATTGGAAATTACCCTTCCCTTCCCTGCAGGCAGGTAAGTGGCTGCTGCTGGGTGTGGGGAGCAAGCGAAGGATTAAGAGACTTGTTGAGAAACTGTCACAAAACATTGAAAATGAAGATCACATGAACGCAGGAGCAGTCAATACCACCAAAATAGCCATATCTTCCCCAAACTTCATTTTCATGGATTTTGGACACATCCTGTAAGTTAGCCCATTTGAGGTATCTCGATTCAAAAATTGTTGCCTTATAATGCCCCAATTCACCCAGTTAAAAGTCATGATAACAAAAGTCTTAATGATGAGATTAGATAAATTAGATAGATGGATGGATGAATGGATAGATGGATGGATGGGTGGGTGGATGGATGATAGATGATAGATGAAAGATGATAGATATAGACATAGATTAAGGATGTAATGAAATAGAGAGGGTGGCTAAAACATTCCAGTTACTTTTCTATCTCAGCCTGAAACATTGTACTTAATTGCCTGAAAAAGGAAATACTGACCCCACAGCCGGGTTATCTATTTTATCTAGGTTTGGGTTGTATTGGACAACAGGCCGGTAGTTGCTTTTATATCCTGCTCCAAAATGGAAGCCATTCCGAGGATGAAAGCCTTCCTGACCTGGGGGAAAAAAGATTGTCAATATTTTTTCTTATTACACTCCCAGCCCAAATCATCTTTCCATCAAGGTACTGTACTAAACTATAATACAAAACAGCAATTCAACAAGACTTCTAAATGCTGAGAACATGTTTTGATATCTTTTCAAATGGCTATCACGGGGGGGGGCTTGATTGCTTCCTCACAAAATGGCAGTCTAATTTTCCCTCTCCAACTAGGACTCCAGCTTACCACTATCATTTGGGAGGCACGACTACAGATTGCATGGGGGAGGGATTATGTTTGGGGTCCAGAAGTTTTTGAAATAAAGATATTGCACGTTACTACTTTGCTTTCTGAAGAGAAAAGGAGGAAGGGCGGAGAGGGGAGAGGGGAGGAAAGGAAAGGGGAAGAGGAAAGGAAAAGGAGAAGAAGAAAAGGAAAGGAAAAGGAAAGGGAATCACAACATTATCATTTAATGAAAGCAAAAACACCATGAAAGAGACAAGAAAATAGATAATAGTGATAAGCATTTTTAAATACAAACTTTTACACATTATTATATGAAATATAAATGTATACGATATAACACAGAATAATTGCTGCATATAATATGTGGCAAATTTACATAAGTTGTATTACATTCATATAGATATACTGTAGTTTTGATTATATTACTTAGTGTTGGTATTTTTTCCATTTCTTCCAAATTTCAAGAATTGCAGTGTATGGATGTAGAAAAAAGAAAGCAGCCTATAACAGAAAGATATATAAGAGGCAATATACCTAAGAAAGGGGCACAGGTTGGGCAGTAAAGCAAGAATAATGATGCATGGAAAGCAAATATAACAAGCTGGATCCCATAGGAGTCACTCCTGATCAAACATATTTAGGACTTAGCTGTTAATTCTGTGTATTTCTGGATATAATTCCCAAACATATTGTTGACATTTTTAGAACAAATCCTAATGAATCTCAAATTTGTTCTTTCCTCTGCTCATGTGCCACAGTTACTAACTTCTAACTTTTCATCTGGACAGATAAATTATATATTGGACATTCTTGCAATCCAAAGTGAAAACGCAAGGTTCAAATTCTAGTTTTTAGATTAATTGAGAATAAATTATTTTCTATATTGGTTAAAGTCTTACCATAAGCTTCCCCATAGCTGGTACAATAGAATTTCATGGGGTCTATACTTCCACCCGAGCTTGTTTTTACATAGGGAGAAACTGAACCTAAGGGGAGACGTCCCATCTTCTCTCTGCATACAGAAAAAGATTTTGTGATACAAGATTTTCCCGGGGAAACAGTTATCATAGAAGATTGGCCACTGATCATTGTGGAGAACTAGAAACCTGCTGAGTGCCAGAAGGAAAAATCAGTTTGTCTTGGAGAGATATTTATTTAGATTGTTTAGATCTCCTGGAAACAGAGTGAGCTCATACACAGCTCTGTGACATCATAGAATCTTAAGATTTAAAGAAAAACTTAATAAAACTAAAGTGGACTGTAATTGAGATAATAAAACAAAATGGCCTTAGCACTCAAGTTTGACACTATCTATAGTATAATACTGACTTTATTTATTTTACTATTCAACATCATTTCTATGTCTCCCCAATTGTATGGATGGATGGCTTGCAATAATTACTACATTTAAAGCCATAAACACATAACAGAAATTATAGAATACAATTGATAAATAAACCCAGTGAATAAATTTGAATAGCAATTATCAGTAGGTAAGAAACTGAAGCTTTGCAGAAGATATTCATTTAAAGTTTCTTCTTAAATGTCTAACCCTTCTTTTTATTTATTTCAACATTATTCCACAGCCCTGAGGCAGTAACAGAAAAGGCATATTTTTCTGGTCTCCACCTCTTTAGCTTCAGGAGGAACAGGAACCCACAGCATTCCTTGCTGTTTCAGTCACAAAGGAAGGGTAGATCCAAAGTAGAACAAATTATTTCCCGGTAGCCAAGATCCAAGTCATAAAAGGATTTATAGGTAACAACTAGCATCTGGAACTGTATCCAGAAACCTAAAGGTAGCCAGTACAATGACCAGAGGAAATGTGTTGTCAGCCGCATTGAATAGCTGAAATTTTGGAATGTCCCCCAAAGACTAAATAGAGTATGTGTTGTAGTAGTCCAAGCATGTGGGAATGAGAACATGAGTAGTTGTAGCCAGCACACTAGCTGAATTTATTGGCCATAGTTTTCAATTGCTGTTCCAGCAGAAGTTCACGGTCCAAGTGAATTGCCAGATGATATATCTACTCCATGAAGGGGAACACAGCCCCATCCATTCTAGAAAAAAAAATCCCTGAGTTTTGTCTTCATGCCAAGATAGAGAAGTATGGCTGAATATCATCAGCATAGCAATGGTATTTTACTTCAGGTCAGCAGGTAACATTTCCTCATGATTTCAAATAAATGTTAAATAGAATGGTGAAAAAAGCTATGTCTCCAGCACTTCATGGAATAGGCAAAACTTTGGTCTTTCTTTCTCCTCAATACTGAGTAAAACCATCAGCTTTAGGAAGGAGCAGAATCAGTGTAAAAGATGCATTTTGAATCCCCAACCCTCACCCAGGAAGATACTATGGTTGATATTATCAATGGCTCCTATGAGATTCCTGTGAATCTAACAGGATCAAAAGGGCTACATTCCTCAAGAATGTTGCAAGACATTCTTAAGCGCTACTAATGGAGTTTCTATCCAGGTTTGAACCTAGTATGCAGAGAATCCACTTCTGCCATGATATTCTGCAAATGAACCCACACAACTTACTCCAAAGTCTTCTCCCAAAAGGGGAGGTTGAAGATGGGATAGAGATTGTCCAGATTTTCTGGATTTAGAGATGTCCCATTCAGGAAGAGACATAATGCTTCCTTCAGTGCAGAGAGTACTATCTACTCCCTTAAAGCGGGGTTTCTAATCCATCTTTCAGTCCTCTCATTAACAAGAAGAGGCAAGGTTCCAACTCCTACATGACATAAATCGAGAAGCTTGTCATATCCTATTGAAAATCTTGTCCATTTACTTGGAGTCCACAGTATCAAAGGTATCCCTGATAACCCAGTAGAATTTAGTTCCATTCTCCTTTTAAGGCTCTCCATAAGTATCAAGCACCCAGATCTTATTTTAAAAAGTACTCAAAATCTGAGTTTTCTCTCAGGCTGTTGGCTCATTTGAATGACATAGTCTTCAAGGGAATTATTGTTGTTGTGAGCATATACCAAGGCTTTTGTAGTGTTTCATCTTTTGATCACTATTTTATTTGCTTTGCTTTCAATATTGTACACCACCCAAAGTTACTTTGAATTGGGTCTCCTTACAAATCTAATTACTCATTATCAAGTTCTGACTGAATAGAAAACATGTAGTCTTCCAAATGCTTTGCACAAAGGCCACAATGACTGAAGCAAGTAGTCTTGCTAGCCAATTCCCAAGCTATATATATAGTTGTTCATCTGAAGGCTTAACTATGTGGTAACTAGTTAGGCAGTAGTTAATTGATGCTCACTTAATACAATCATTTTTGTCAATTTATAAAATACCTCTTTGAGGCAGATGTGTTGAAATTATTTGAAGTACTGAAAATATTAGGTAATATTGCTTCAAATACTACATACAGCTTGGTCTCAATTAGTGCTTATATAATAAATCCCATGAAATTTTATTCAAATTTGTACTATTCAAAGTAATATTTCTATGGGAAATTGGTTTCAATTCAATGGAAATAGGCAATAAAATTTTTTAAACGTGTGTGTATGTGTATATACATATATATATAGTGTGTGTGTATTTCTAATTTAAATTTATAATAAACCAAGTCTCAGAGTAGTTTTAGAAAGCAGAATAAAAACAACTTCTAAATTTCATTCCTAAAGATAAGCTTACACTGACAAAAATGTATTTATTGTCTATCAATCTCCTTAAAATGTGGTATTTGCAAATTATAAAAAGCTGGTGCAATTTTACTTTTATTTTCCTTATATTTTTATAATACTGTGCCTATAGATTCAGGCATTCCAACTGATTGTCCTGTTTTAGTATTTCTATGACCATGTTCATGTTGTTTAATTACATCAATTTTTTGTTCTAATGACAAGCATCTTCTTTTTATGAGCTTGTATTCAAACTTGTACTGTTGGAGCTTGATTCCTCCAAAAGAATCATCCTTTTCATCATTTTCTCCATTGTGCACAAACATTGTTAGCAACATCTAAAACTTCAACCACAGAACTTTCTAGTGCCAAAATATCTGATATACTGATAATAGACATAGGTACTTACTCTTCTGGGAACTCATCAACTCTGGGAGCTCATCAACTGAAATGTGTAGGCATTCTTTAATGTACATAGGTACAGTAGCTAGGGGACAAGACCTAAATCAGGTTTTAAGTGACATAGCCACTTCTAAACAGACGTTCTGTTTAAACATGTGTAAGCACCAACATTTCCAAATGCACTAAGTTAAACCTTTCAACAAATTACTTTGAATGTATAGTTCAGTGCTCAAAATTCAGTAGCAAAAGTACACATTTTAAATAAAAGTTTAGTCTCTACAATATTATCCTTAAAAGGAATCAAATAGTAGTCATCACAAGTCTGAATAGAATTTGGTTCATATAATAAACAGGAGAATGCAAACCATATACAAATTTGAGGCAAAAATGCTCCTCTATCCTGAAAACTTACGTTTTATGAAGCAATGTCAAGATTCATCTTGCAATACCATGCCCTTACCTGCCAGTCAAGGTATTGATTGGTTTACTGCAGTGAGCAGAATCCTTGTAGTGTCCCAGAGGACTAAATTATTCCCTTAAGTTAGGAACTTGGAGGAATGTGTAGAACTGAAGTAACAATATGTATCCTAGCAACTAGCTCATAGCAACCAGCTCAAGAGAACCTGTCCACAAGACAGTCACATTTATAGAATCCAGTGGAAGAGTCAGTGGAATCAGTTTGGTGGCTTTTTAACATGGCAGACGCATTACAGATTCTTATCAGGTGTGCAATAGGTGTTCAAAGTTAACCCTCAGAGTAATGGGAAATAGGACCTGTTTTCTTAGCAATGCTCCAATTGAGTTTCAACCCAGTGTCGGACTAGTTTCACAGAATCAATCAATTTTAGTTATAATGCTATTCCATTTGTGGGATTTGAAGCAATACTGATCGCACAAAATGGATTTATATATAGGCAATATACTGTCTACAAGCTTGAAAGTTTAAATGCTAGCAAATTCCAAGTGCAGATTTTGGTATCATAATCATAGCAGTTTGAGAATGTAAAACTACTTTAATCGATCTATTTATTAGTTGACTTTATAATAAAAATCTCTGAAATCTGGATCAAATTCTTAAGCAAGTCCTAAGATAGTGTATTTAATCAAACCTACCTATATCTAAAATCTTCATTTTCATCAGCATTGAGTGTAGCACCTATATGCATATAATGACACCTTGTGGTGGTTCTAGGCAACACCACAGAGATATTGTGGCATCAAAAGGATGTACAGTAAATAATTTCTTTAAGCCCATGTGTTTAAAAGCGGGAAATTATAGGAAAAACAAAACTTTTAAATTGCCGTATTTGAAAATAATAAAAAACTGTTATATATAAAATATGTAGAATAATATAACTACTTTTAGTATATAATTATAACTCTAATGTTTTATTCGCTAAAACTGCCCTCTGTAACAAAATTAAATTTTAACCTTCTGAAAATGTTTATAATTTGTTTAGACAGCATGTAATCAACTGAGGAAAAATACAGGATTATCTGCCCTACAAAATAACATCTGAAAAGACCATAAGGATGGCACAAATCATCTAAAGAAATTTATGTACAAAATAAGCTTACTAAAAGCTAATGCAGACATTTACCATCTGCCAAACTTGTTAAATTACAGTAAGCAGATAAAGCAATGATTGTGCCTGTTAAGTGCAACTAATCTCCTGTAAATACTCATTCTGGTTACATTTTATTAAACAATCTAAATTTTTTAATAGCCACTGCTGTATCCTTTGGAAACCTCTGTCATTTACAAGCTCCCCTGAAAATTTATTTCTCCCTATGAATCATCACAGGCAAAAGTCAGGGATAATGGAAGCTCTAATGTAAAACTCTTTATGACCACTGAGACAGGCATGGTTTCAACACAGTATGGATCACTTACTCCCAAGTTGTTTTTTAAATCCTCCACCTACATTTTGAGAATAGAGAAGCATCTGAATCCAAGAACAAAAAATGCCTGTGAAATTTCCTTTACAAAATCTGAGTTGCCTGAGAAAACTAGGACAGCAACAGCTGAGCCAAGTAGATGGCAAAAACTGGCCAAGCAGGAATGAAGCTGCTGCATAGAGAGTAATATGTGTACTGATATATCTGAATTAATATAATTTTGTTCACATGGTATCTCATTGCATATTATCAGTTGCTATCCTGTTAAAAATGCCACAATTTTCAATAAATGGATGACAATCTAATATAGATGCCAATGAAATCATGGTTATAGTGTTTGCATATTTCTGGGGCAAAATCCTCAACATACATACAGCATTAACATCTGCAGAGAAAGCATGGAATTGGCCAAGGTTTATACCTAATTGGATTAACAGAAATATTCCTTGATGAATCAAATATCAGACAGCATTTGTTTCCATCATCCAGTAACTATATGTCAAGAAGCTTTCGAGAAATAAGATAGGGAGAAATGGGCTGCAATTGAACTCAAGCAAGAGAGTTGCTGTCTGTACTCAGTTCTGGGTTCTCCTATAAGGATACCATTACCTCTGAACGAGGAATCCATGATTTAGGTGGCTAGTACTAGGTAGATACTATTAGGCAGGCAAAAGGTAGTTCTCCTTCCTTAGGCAGATCGCCAAGGTTTCTTCCAGCCCTGATTCTTTAATTGTAGTGACAGCCAGGAGGTCCTTAACCCAGTTGTAACTGAGGTTACTAGTTGTGACTGTCTGGAGCTGGAGGGATAGTAATTTGTAGAGTTGTAATTGCAGGAATGTTCTAATCTCGGATGGCAAACCTCAGATAAAGAATGTTTCCAATCTTCAGGGATCATTGTATAACCATTTTTTATTCCTTCTACAAGTCCTCTTGTAAAATTACCACTAATCCCATAGTCTGTAACTGCCTTTTTTAACTCTCTTAAAATCTGATAAGGCAGACCCTCCCATTCTGCTACTTGCAGTCCAAGCTGTGGCCCCTGACCAGGATGATATTGTACTGGACACAGTAATTCTGCAAGTTCTGTTCCTGAGACAGAGGCATCCTTTTTACAATTCTCAACCATTTTCTGAAAAGAAGACTGAACAATAGAGTCAGGAGGCTTTTGCCCTGTATCTGCAGGAGCTGAGGGAATTGAAGAGCTGAGGGAATTCAGGTGAAGGGGGACAAATGACAGTATAACGTGGAGGTGTTAAGAGAAAATTCATTGTGACCAAATTTTTCAATTGCATGCCTACATAAATGCCACACCTGCAAAACTTCTATTTTTGCTAGAGGTTCAGTATGCAATGTTTTCCCTATACATTCCCAATCAGTTAATTTTAAAGACCCCTCTTTTGGATACCATAAGCACTGAGCTGCAATCTCCTGGACTAGCCTTAAGAGATTTCTCTGTGGTACCTTAGTATTATTTTTCTTCAACAAATAGCCTAATTCATCTACATGTTTCCTTTGTTCCTCAGAAAGCGAAGACCCCATACTTACAGAAACCAAAAGGTTGAAGAAACCACAAAGGGTTGAAGGTGCACCAAATTCTTGCCGGACGAAGTAAGAGGGTCCCTGTTCGGGCGCCACTTGTTGTAATGACGAGGCAGTCGAGGTGTTTGATCATGATCAACTGAATCATGATGAACTTTATTGGAGTCTAGTCTTGCATTTATACACATTTTTAGTTATCCTCCAACATTGGTTAACTTTGGTTACTGCTTAACTTTCGTTACTGTTTAGCATAATAGTAATTAACACAATTATCTCTAGTTAAAGTCTAACATATGTTTACTTCCTCTCTCTAATCCTCCTTTAGATTAGTGACTTTGTTTGCCTGAGTTGTATTTGCTTGGAAACATTCTTTATCTGAGGTTTGCCATCTGAGATTAGAATATTCCTGCAATTACAACTCTACAGTAATTCATACTGCCATCCACACATTAGCCAATTGCAATTCGCTCCACATGGAGTTTGCTTTTAAAAGTTACTCTGAAACTGCAGTGGCACAACATACAAAGGCCTGCATGCTAACTGGCACTGATGCCATGAACACCTACACATGGACCCTGCCTTGAATGCCAGTAAATCTCCATACAATTTAAAGTGTTACTTTTAACCTGTTAATGTCTTTTATGGCTTGGCATCAGGGCTACTGTCTTCAACATTCCTCATCTTAATCTCTCATGGGAGATTACAGGGTCTAAGATGAGGAGGTACTTCTCCATTATGATTACTGCCAGCTAATAAATATAGATTTAGCCCCATCCTTTGGCCTTTGGGGAGCAGGTTAAAGAGCCCTTTCAGTAGTTAAAATTGTGCCTTAGAAATTACACCCACAAAAACACCCACAAATGTATATTCCAGTTTGGATAATTTTTAAAAAATACATTACAGCTATTTCAACTTCTGTTAAATTGCCAAGATCTGCATGATTACAATGGTCTAAAAATCAAATAAGTAAAAGACATTTCTAAAGTGCAATAGTGATCTCATCACTATTTCCTAATTTGTGTTTCAGCCCTTCTTTTGAGAAAAAAAGCTTTATTTTAGAAAAGTATAATACAGAAAAAATAGCTACTTATATAAAAATTCACAAATTAGGCATAACATAGTTTAAGGAGGAGCCCATAAAGCACAAATATGATTCTACATTTTAAGGGATTCTCCAAACTGGGCATTTATGGAAATGCACACAAGATCAGTGGGAGCCTTCAGCAAGATATTCCAGATCTGGTTGTCGTAGCCTCTTCTCTCTGTGCTTGTTTTTAGTAAACTCTCTAAGCATCTGTAGGATTTCATTCTCAAAGATTTCTGGAGCAGGCTTTGTTTCTTGAGAAGAAGAAAAAGAGTGAATTTTTTCACAGATCCAATAATCTTTTCCAAAGTTCAGTTACGTTTCAGATAACAGATTGCATTAGTTCTCTAAATATACAAAAAATGAAACATCAGCTAATAATAACTATTTCTAAGGCTTTCTAAAGAATATTACTTTCATCTTCTTGTAAAATATATTCAGGATACACTGACTGCAAATCTTATAATAGCCATGCAGTTCAATTATTTATATGTCTTTTGAGAACTAAGTCTCACTGAATAAAATATTGGTTACTTAAGCATATCGAAAACTGGATTCTGATTTAGTTATGCTAGGAATAAGACTACTAAATTTAATACAGCAACTTAATTGTGCTCCTCCCAAGTTTTATTTATTTCAGCAGATATACTTTTAAGCATAAGTAAGGATCCAACCTTTTAGTTACAATCCTAAACTTTTGGAAAAACCTCTAAATAAAGATGAAAATATTGTAAACTGTTCAGTTCTACCTATAATTCTGCAAATAATATTGTAGAGCACAATAGAATTGCAAATAATATGGATAGTTCAAACAATCTCCATAACTGTATTTTTAATAGATATGCACAGAATTGCATAGTCTCTTAGTTGTCAAAATAGCAAACTGTGTCCTTAACCATTTTACTGTATGTATTCCTGCTCCAAGGTAACATTGTATTTCAAATGCCCATAAAATTTCAAGGCCCATGTATATAATTTATATTTTTAAGGTCTACAAGATCCTTGAAATATAGAATAAAGATAAGCAACAGAGGCTCAAATATCACCTATATTGCTTTACTCAGTATTATGAGATTAGAAATATGTTGAGAGCTATAGTCTGCTGGCTCCAAAACACACTGTTCTACATTACCTGTTGCCCAGGAGTATATGTCCCAATCATTGCTTGGCTCATTTATTAGACGGTCATAAAGGTCCAGTTGTTGTTCATTCATTTGATTCAGATTTTCTTTGGCAAATAAACTATTAAAAACAATTAAGAGTTCTGTAAAATGCCAAAACAAAAGTGCTAAGCTCATACAAAGCCAGTACACACAAAATGAAAAAAGAATCAAAAACACACCTCAAACACACCAACAGAAAAACAATCTGAATTTTCCTATATATTTAAAGCATCGACAATCCTCTCTTATGTTTCTTAGATTCTAATTAATTCTATTTGCCTATTATCATTCGAAGAGGCAGGGACCAACTCTACCTCATCTGAAGTTGCCCAAGTAATATTCAATTTGCAGAAGCATCTATACTCACAACAAAAACATCTGTACCAAGGAAGGCTTTGTGCACAATGCATCCTTCTGTGTTGACTTTGAGGAGACAAAAGACCAGAATATGTCAGACAGCACATAGTTAATATCAAGAGCTTACGGGGAAAAGATATGGTAATGGCTAGGTAGTTTAGATTGCTTTACAGGACAAATTAGTCCTCCGCAAGTAGGACTTAGGGAGTTCACATAGTAAACTTGGTAAGAAAAACTTTAGCCTGGTCAGCAGGTGATAAAATAAAGGAAATCTTCTCAAGCTGAACTTGATTGCTTAGCCCATGTCCCTATAGAAGCAATATGGTAGTGGGACTCATCTCCAGGGGGAATGAGTCTGCCTACCGAGATGAGGTGGACCAGTAGCTTTCATGGTGTGGAGACAATAACTTGGTCCTCAACACCAATAAGACTAAGGAGCTTATTGTGGACTATAGAAGGAACAGATCAGACATCCAGCCCTTGCTTATCAATGGAGACCAAGTGGAGCAAGTGGCCAGTTTTAAGTTTCTGGGTGTTACCATAAAAAAGGATCTGACCTGGGGTGCTCACATTGCAGCACTGGTAAAAAGGGCCCAGCAGAGATTATACTACCTGAGACTTCTCAGAAAACAACTGAGTGAAAAACTGCTCGTGATCTTCTACCGCTGCACCATAGTGAGTATCTTACCTTACTACACTTCTGTATGGCTTGCCAATTGCACAGTGGCAGATAGGAAAGCACTCCAGAGGATCACTGGTTGCCCTCTCCCCTCTTTGGAAGAGCTTTATAGCTCCCGCTGCCTTAAGAAAGTTCAAAACATTCTCAAAGATCCATCTCATCCTGGGCACCCTTTTTTTGAACTATTACTATCTGGCAGACGGTACAGAATAATGAAAACAAGGACAAATAGACTGAAAAACAGTTTCTATCCCAGGCCAGTAACTCTATTGAATTCTACTGTATAGTACACTGAAGATGGTATTTAATTTCGTTGTACGATGTGCAGTGACAATAAAGTAAACTAAACTATGTATATGCCATTGCAGGGTTATTTACTTCCTATTCTGGCTTACAGTTCTAATATTTCCTAGTGGTCTTCCATCCAAATATTAACCACATCTGACCCTATCACTTTTCAAGATTTGTTAAGTGGTGCTCCATGCTCTGCTGAATATCTCAGGGCAGGAGTCCCAGTGAAAGTTATGAAGAGTGGTTATTTGTACAGTATTCAAACATAGTTATTGTATTATTAGCATTTAGCTTGTCCCAAAAGGGTCTCAGCTAAATAACACAGTAGTAAAAATTAAAATTGCGGGACCCTGGACTAGAGATGCTGAGTATGGGTAATCCGCCACTTAAGACCACAACTGAGCCCAAAATTTCTATTAAGTGAGTTTTGCCCCTTTTTATAACCTTCCTTGCCACAGTTGTTCAGTGAATCATTGCAATTGTTAAGTTAGTCCAGCGGTTGCTAAGTGAATTTGGCTTCCCCACCGATCTTGCTTGTCAAAAGGTTGCAAAAGGGGAATCATATGACCTTGGGATACAGCAACCGTCATAAGCATGAACCAGTTACCAAGCATCTGAATTTCAATCACATGGGGCTGCCGCAAAGGTCATAAGTCACTTTTTTTTAGTGCGGTCGTTAACTCTGAACCAAAGGAACTATTGTTAAGTCGAGGACTACCTGTACGGTGGCTGGGAAGAGAGAGAAGCAAAACCGCCCACCTGAGCAGCAGGCAGTTCTCCAACATGCCTCTCTTGCGGCTCTCATATAAGAGCCTGGCGCGCTTGCTGGCCAGGGGCTCGTCCGGCCGAGCCTGCCAGGGAGGGAGCGGGATCTCCAGCAGGTCCTTCCCGGAGTCAGATGGAGAATCCCCGCGGTAGCCACACTTGGGCGAGCGGGACAGACAGCCGGGCAGCAGCAAGACGCGCTGCGAGGAAAAGGAGAGAGAGATGCGAGCGACCATCCTTCAGAAATAACGACCTTTCTCCGGTCCTCCCAGTCTGCCTCCCACACTCACTCACCCGAACCATTAGAGCCGCCATCCTTTCCCTCCGAGCTCCTCTATCATTTGCTCTCGACCATAGATATACAAGGTAACGCGAACCAGGATGCGCTTTCTTTCTTCAGAGAGCCATAGAGAGCTCGTCCGCGCATGCGTCTCAATTCGGTCCCGTTCGAAAACGGCCACCCGTCGCTTCGAACGCCGCCGGGACGGGAGCCAAGGAGGAAGTTTGGATCTTTCCTTTTTGCTTTCTTGCGCGGAGAAACATCAGAAAACCGGAACAGGCGGGACTCGACAAGCCGGAAGGGGCGGGGCGGAGGAGGCCCTCACTGTGGTGGAGTGAGTGAAAGAGAGAGAGAGAGGTTCGCGCGCGTTTTGGGCCTGCTTGGGATTGTGGGCCTTTACGCGGTATAACGGGGCCGCCTAACATTGGGGGGAGAGGAGGTTCTTCGTCGGCTGTGTGGTGGTGACCCGGCGGGGCGTGGGGTGGAATGGGGCGCTCCCTTCCCAGCGCGGGAAAGCAGGAGGCGATGGCTGCCGCGAGCGAGCGGCCGCAGTTATGGCGCCGACGTGGGGGGGGGGGGGGGGGTGTCTCCGTTTCCCACCTTTTTGCTCCCCGACCCCTCCTCTTGCGGAACCCTCAGATGCGCGCTGAGCGAAGGGGGCGGGGCTGCTTTGCGGTCCTAGGCCCGCCTCGCTGCCGGCCCGGTTCGTAGCCGCGCCAGAAAGGTGATCCTTGTGGTCTGCGTTAACCCGGTTCTTTGCTTTGACCTGCAGTGCCGCTCTTTCCCTCCCACGATTCTCTCCGTGGCGCTCCTGAAACTATGTCGGAAGGAGTAGACCTCATCGATATCTACGCCGACGAAGAGTTTAACCAGGTAAGTGTTGATGCGGCTTCATTGGGAGAGAAGGGGGCAAAAGGGCACAAAAAAGGAGTCAGATCTTATTGAAGCTTCACCTTGTTATATACTTGAGGGCAACAACGCGCTGATTTAATCCAACTGATCTTTTTTTTCCCCAAAAAGATTTTAACTCTGAAGAGGATTGATTGCCAGGTAATGGTGGTTAAATTTCATTTGCAATTCGAGTGGGGATAAACTTCGTGCTGTGCTTGCCAGTTGGTTTCAAAAATGTTTTTTTTTAATCTGCAAGGAAGAAGAAATAGCATTCCTTAATTTAAAGTAATAATCATAAATGAAAAGTGCAGTTTGGAAGAAACACTCTTTTTTCATGGGAAAGGCGGATTTGTGCACGTTAAATTTTTCTTTTTAGTGGGAACAGAAAACAAAACATGTTATCTGTAGTGACAAATTTACACACAAAAATATTGCAATTAGCTTAATTTGTATTTGAGTGTGCTTTTTTTTTTGTGGAATTGCATCTATTAAATGGAGTTGGATCTTTGTTTTGTTTTAGACTTGGATGTTGCATATGAAGAAGGGTTGCATGAATTAGATATGTCTAGTTTAATGAAAAGAAGAATTAAGGGTGCCATGATAGCAATGTTCCAACATCTAAGGGGCTGCCACAAAGAAGAGGAGATCAACCTATTCTCCAAAGACCTGAAGGCAGGACAAGAAGCAATGGATGGAAATTAATCCAGGAGAGAACAAACATAGAAATAAGGGGACATTTCCTGACAGTTAGAACAATTAATCAGTAAACAGCTTGCCTTCAGAAGCTGCGGGTGCTCTATCACTGGAGGTTTTTAAGAAGAGATTGGACAATCACTTGTTTGAAATGGTATAGGGTCTTCTGTTGGAGCAGAGGAGGTTGGAAGACCTCCAAGGTCCCTTCCAACTCTGTTATTCTGTTGCAGTTACACCAGTTTATGTCAATATAAGTTAAGCAGTATAGGCAGTCCTCAACTTACGATCACAATTGAGACCAAAATTTCTGTTGGTGGTTGCTAAATGAGCCACGTCTGATTTTATGACTTTTGCCGGGTTAAACAAATCACCTCAGCTAAGTGAATCATGCAATTCTTAAGCGAAACGAGGTTTCCTAATTGACTTTGCTTGTTGGAAGCCAATTGGGGAAGATTGCAAATGGTGATCACATGATCCCCAGGATGGTACAAACAACATACACTCTGATTGCTAAGCACCTGAACTCTGATCATGTGATGTAGTGCAAATGTGATTTTGTGATGGAATGCCAAACATCATCATCACTTTTCAGTGCTGTTGTAACTTTCAGCAGTTGCTAAATGAATAGTTGTACCTTTTAAATAAAGCATTGGAAAGTCAGCAGAGGAATAATAATTTGGCAGGCAGAGAATTTGGAACCAATCTGTCATTAAAATTGCTTAGTACTAACAAACACTTATCATTTAGTTTTGGAAGTACCTCAGATCATTGATATGTCTTGTGATATACAAGCAGAAGATGCCAGGTTCTATTGCTTAGACTTGTGTCTAAAACTCTGTTACTGTAGATAATATTAGAAGGAATAGGTTAATAATTTAAGCAAAGTTCTTAGAAAAGTTTGTGTAAGATTCTGGGTTCATACTTGCATTTTATTCCTTATCAAATAGCTTCTTTTCACAGGATTCATAGATGTTTGCTTGGTATTTAAGTTGAGATGTTATAAGTCAATTACTATTAAGTCATGTGCCTCTGATTTTTATCCTAGAGCAAGGCAACTTTATATCTCCTAGGTAGTCTTGCACTTTACTTAGCAGCAGTAACTCACAAAGAATCCTGATGGATATCTTCTGGATATCTGTATCTGAGATAAAGTCAGCAACCTTTTTGAATAATTAAAATTCGCTACCTGGAATCAGTTTGGAACTTCCTTTCTGGAGTCACAAAAGTGCCTATTACACTAATGCAGTCTTAAGTAAGAATTGTGTACACTTTTCATTCTGGCAATATTTTTAGTCCTCATATTTGCAACTAGGACAAAGGCGTTTACTTTGGTAATGTTTCCAGCATGCTGGGTGGTTTGTAGTATAAGAAGTGTTCGTGGCATGCTACAAAATCTGCTGTGCTAATTATTATTTGGTGTTCCAGAGATCCAATAAATTATATTAAGACATAATAAGAGAATGACATAGATGTTTGTTTCTTGTGTTTGTTTTTAAAGTTGGATTACAACACTCAGGAAACAATGCATGTCATTCTTTGGCCTATGCAAATATTAATTCTTTATACTTTTATGTCTCTATTAAGTAAAATAGATGCCTGCCTGAGAGGATTACATCAGTGATTAATTGTTGTCCATTATGTCTTTTATATTACCATAGTGTTCTGAATTTACAATTATTTGTTCTTTACAATCAATTTATTTATGAAAGTCTTCTGTTCTGGACAGGTTTTAATTGGATTTATTCCCTGATATAGAATTACTTGTATGTTTCTTTCTCTAAATCCTGGTGAAGTTGGAGAGAAGAACAAAGGAAATAAGTATTGCTTCAAAAGTGTTCTGTGATTTTTGGAGTCCTGCATTATATATATTGTTTTACTTATAATACATTCATCCATTTCATTGCTAAAGTGTAATTATGTATTTGTCCTAGCTCAAATTTTTTGAGGGAGAAAAGTAACATTTTGAAGCTACAGTATATATTTCCATAGATGCATCTTGTTTTGGGTTCCTCTAGAGGTCCTATTTGAATTGTTGCATGTCCTTTTGAGAGGACTGATTTAAAAGTATTGGATATATGGATTTGTATTTGTTTATAATTTGCCTTACTTGAGATGCACATCATAGGAACTTCTGTGTTCATGTACATAAACAGGTATATAGATAAATCCTCAAAGGATTTTGGTTGCTTTTGTGATGGATCATTTGTTGAACAGATTTTTGCCTATAAGCTAATACGGGTGAATTCTGCAGCAAGTGGCAGTGTCCAATGAATATTGGCTAAATCGGACAAAATTAAACAAGGTCAGATCAGAATGATATTTAGATAAGAAACCACCAGGATTTAATTTGGGTGACAGTATAGATTGGAACATTGAAAAAAATACCCTGGAAAAAGGAATGGTGAGCCATTTCCATATTGCCACTAGGAAAATACAGTATTGTGGATTATTTTCAAGAATGACGTGAACTTATTGCCTGGGAACCTGACTTAAAGGAGCTTTGACTTTTAGCACTGGATCCCCATAAGTAGAAAACTTAGTTGTCTCAGAGCAAAGGAATGGGAAGCTCACTGAAAATCTGGAAACTGAAGCATTACAATACTGCTCTTTCTGTAAATGGACAAATGTGTGTTTACATGCTTCTAGGAACTCTGAAGTATTCGCTGCAGGCTTCCAAAGGGTTACTACGCCAATTATTTGTTCTGTATGCTTGTAATATAGTTTTGCATATGTTTTGTGAATCCTGGTTTTTTTTCTCTTCAAACTGAATCTCCAAATTTCCATTTGCTTTAGTTAACATTACTATTACACAATTACAATCTAATATTAAGTGAATGATTGGAGTAAAAGTTCCATCCATTTTTGTAATATAGTGGCAGAATTATTTCCATGGTCTAAGTAGTCCGATTCAGAATCAGAACGTTTATTTTTCAAGCTGAGTTTCCAGAGTTAAAGGCATCTTTGACATATTCTCCTTTAGTTATTTATTAATTGCTAATATCTCTCCCTACCCCCATTTCATGTGATCCCTGGATTGTTTTAGATACATTTTCATGGTAAGGTCTAGAAATACAGTGGATGCTATCAAATAACATGCATAAATTATTGTTGCATTCTATTTTGCTGCAATACTTGGTTCCCAATTATCCCTTAGGTAATTTGTATATGCTAGTACTGCTCTTTAAGATTACCATTGTGTATTTTTAGCTGAGAAAGTAACTAATGCTTCTGAATAGTTTTTGGTAGATTATGTTATGCTTTTTATGTAAGTGTGTATTGTAGTTCTACCAAAGTGAATAGGATGTCAACGTCCATAATTTTTGTGTTTCAACTTCTTTTTTCCTAAACAGCATTCAGTTTTGCAATGCATACAGATGCAAAGCTACTGTTTTGTTAAGAGACAAGACATTTTCTAAATGGCAAGATGAGTTACAAGTGACCACGACCATGAGTTACATGTAAATTTAAAGAACTTAGGTCTTGTAAAGATAATTCACTAAACTTTCTAAACATGTTTTGCAGTTAAGTCAGATGTCTTCATCAGCCAAATACTTTTGCATTTCAGCAAATAGTTTCTTTAAAATAGTCAAAGAACAGAAGTTCAAGGAAAAAATATATTATGAGAATGCTAACACCCCCTTTTCTTTGTAAATGTAAGGGAACACACGCCTTGGATTCAGATTTCCTATCAGCAGAAGCATAAAATGTTCACACAGGAACGAGAAAGGGAAGTTTTCATTATTTTCCCCCTCAAATACTTTCTTCAAGGAGTAGGACATTTTCTCATCCTTTTATCCATTGCCACAAATAAAAGAAGTTTGACCATTTGCAGAAGCAATACTCTGGATCCATTCCTACTGATTTAATTTTTGAAAGGAAAAAATATATAGAACTACAACTGGTACAGAATGCATATGGTAAATAATGCCAAATATGCAGCACTCCTGCATGAGCTGCATTAGTTATGTGTTTTCAGATGCAATTCAAGGTGCTGGTTGTTACCTTTCCAGACCTACCGGTATTTGGCTTGGGACTGTGTCTTTTTCCAAGAGTCTACCAGTCCAATTCGATCTAGAAGGTCGAGGATGTTGCAGACCCCATCTGTCAGGGAGTGTCGATGAGCACAGACTAGAAGACAAGCCTTTCTGCAGTAGCCCCTATTCTGTAGAATATTTTCACCTTGGAGATTAGAATAGCCCCAACCCTAGTGGCCTTTCGAAAGGCTTTAAAAATCTGGCTGGGTTCCCAAGTCTGGGGCACAGAATAAAAAGTATTAAGGCCTTTACTTG